GGGAGAATTGCGCAGGAACAAGATAATGAGATAATGTTAGTGTGGGGTTCAGAGTTTCCACAGGCTTTGCAAAAAGATACGCTCCTACCAGAAACTACTCTATGTGACTGTGTAGAGTTCATCGAAGGGAATAAAACCAGTCCGGATTTTCTGGTGTTAAAGGATGAGCGTGCTGGAGAGTTCGTACTCCCCTTATTTTCCTCATCATGCCAGACAGACTTCTGAGTCATGCTACCAAGAGAATTTGTTTGCACAAAACCAGCATGGATCCTTTACATATTTACCCTACATATTGGTTTGCAACATATACATGCAGGTTTTCTTCTCGCTCTGTTTTTGGAGATGGCTGAACTAGTGTGAAACGCAGATAATGAGAGGTCAATAGCATCTGTGCCCACAGCAGTGCTTTCCTGAGCTATTATAAAGCAAAGGAAGGGAGAGAGTGTGCGTGCGGTTACGCTTTGATTACAGAAGCCAGGCAATATGTTTATAAATGAAATTCTGTCAACAACTTAAGTACCAGGGATGTGCAATTAATGAAATCCCTGCCAAACCAAGATTTATGATGACTAGGAGACGTGCCTTTACTTAAACGGACAAGTGAGACTGTGTCCGTAGAAGGTCAAAGCATCTAATTGTACTACGATGTCTATATTTACTTGGGCTATTTTTCCTCATACTTTATATGTGAGAATGTTGATGCTTACAGAATCCTTTTCCTGAGAGAAGAGTACTGTTATCTCCATTGGTACGTGTGAAGAAACTGACATCCAGAAATTTGGAATACTCTAGGTGAGGTACCATACCACAGCGATGGGGGAATTAAGAACCCAGCCTTTTCATGTCCTAATTGGGTATACTGGATCACGCTGGAATTAATAGTGCAGTAAATTTAGCTACTGATATTACTAAACTCCTGTTTTTTCATCCTTTTATTTGATGCTAGAGCATCATATTCCTTCTCCAGCAGAGAAATAATTTAAGTCCATTTCTTTCATCTTTTCCAGAACTCTCAGAAAACAAATTGTTTCTCAAGTAAGAAACTGTCACTGGTAGCAGTGTGTACTTCTACATCACCCAGCAAAAAGGATGCTTTTCCTGTAAACAAAAGAATATAAAAATACTAAATAAATAATAAACCACTCTAGCCAGTAGTAATAAACCTTGGGCAACACCTACAACAAAAATGGTGCCTATGACAACTGGGTATCGCTCCTGAGTTGTGTCCGTCCATAAGGTGTGCTGTACTCTATCAGGACATGCGACTCTGACATACATTGAACATACAAACCCTGTTACAGCTTTCGGCCGCTCTGGACTTTGAAGATTTAGCTTATATTTTGCCCTTAAAAGAATATGGTTAGGCATGTTCTTGTAGTTGACAGTACTACCACTGAGCCCAAGGCACGCTTCTGGAAGACACCCCTCAGACACTCTTACGTTCTTGCTGCATACTTCCACAGATCCATCAGCCAAAGTATCACTCATGATATGAACTTTCAATTTCACAGATGAAGGAACTTGGCGTCATCGTATACAACTGTAGCTGCCTGGTCTTGGATTTACAAAGGATATTTGCCCTGTATAGCTCATTAAGATACAAGAATAAAATACCTCCAAGTTGGTCTAAGAGACTGTATGGAGTGTACGATACTCAAAATAAACTGACGCTGCAGCTGAACGAGACAAAATCAGAAGCTTTTGTGTCGGTAAGTTCTGAGATGGGTTGTGGAGAGGGAGGGAAGGGAAGAAACTTATTTAACTCACCACATTTTTGGAAGATCTGGAAATGTAACATCTGCTTACTTTCCTAATATTGTCCTTTATGAACTACAGAGCAGTGAGACCAGGTTAGGTAGGTGCTAGGAGCAACTGGGAAAAGAATCTTTAGTGTCTTTTCACTGATACAGAGATGTTCGCAGTTCCCTGCAAATAAGTCCATCACAACGCTGTGCTCTCCCTGAGAGGTAATTTCCAGGAATAGTAACATACATGGTATAAATTAAGCCTTAAGTATTTCTCTAAATTGGCCCTAACTGAAGAAAGATGCCCATGACTGCTATGTCCTTAACCAAAAGCAGCTACTAAAATTGAGACTCATGTGAGTGACTGGAAACTCAACTACAGAGATAAGACCACTACAGCTGTCGCTTACACAAGACAGAACTTGATTGATAAGTCTCATAATACTGGAAAACTAAATCATTCTGTTCTCTGGGAAAATGGTTATTCCAATAGGTATGCTTTTGTGGGGAAGTCTGTAATTGAAAGGGTTTTTTAAAGTTATTTGCCTTTTTCCTATGGTGCAGAAGAGACAAATCACAATATTTTTTTCATTCCATTTTCTGTGACATTGTTCTTACACGCAATTTACCAGGACTGAAGGTGCTGCAGAATTTCATCTGAGCATTATTCTTTTTCTCTTTCTCTGTAATGTTACCGCTTTTCCTCTTGTGTTCAATAAATGATGGGTAGGCTCTGCAAATTAGGTTATTTATTTACACTAGTAGATAGAAGGTGAATGACTTGAGAGTAAATGAACTGTTAATCAGACATCTAAAACGATACAGAATAAGCTTGATATCAGAGCTTGCATTTTTATCAGTGTAATTTATAAGGATTAATCCTCTCCACCCTGTTCCATTGAAAGCATTCATACTTCTGTAGAACATTATCTACTTTAGTTTTATTTTTAAATGACATTTTTAAACTTCTAAAATTCAAGCAGCAATCCCCATAGAAGCACTGTCTGTCTGTGTATTTTTACTGGGAAAAAATGGAGTAGTCCTCCATGTCAGCAGTGATATAGCAAAACTGGAAAGAAGTACACAGAGCAACAGAGATGGTGAAAGATGCAGAGTGGCTTTCATTTTGGAGGTAATTACATGAGAAAAACAACTTCTTCAAAGTCAGGAAAATAATGAAGTCGCTAACAGTTATTTACCATTCTGTACAGAACAAGGGGCAAAACCCCACTGCTTTATAGCCAGTGATGTCTAAAACAACACAAGGCATGTAGCACACTATTCAGTTGTACACAACAGAGGATGTTGGTGCAGATGAGTGGTTATACAGGGCAGGGTTTACATTCACCTACTGGGAGCCATGCATGCAACGTTCGGGTGTCCAGGATTTTTCACGCTCCTACAATCAGTGGACAGACAAAGAGCTATTTTGGAGTGAAAATCTGGAAGTGCCTACGGCAGCCAGAATTAATAAGCAACTGAAGAAACATATGCTTCCATTGATTCTGGAGAGTCTTAAGAACTAGCTTAAATTAGAGACTAACTTTTGGGCAGTTAGCTAAGGAGCTGCGAAATGAATCCCTACTCCCTTCTAAGCAATCTGTAAGAAATGGAGAAATCCTCCTGAAAGCCAGCCCTGGAGAAGGCACACAGTGACGAAAGCTGGGCAAGGCCAACTTTAGGGATAGCGGGGTCCTAGACAAAGACAGGTGGAGAGAGGCGCTACAAAACCTGCTCTTCTGCAGTTTGCAGCATGCTCACTTCCTCCCTGTGATTTGTATTTTCCTTTTGTGCGGGCAGCAGAGGCCTCTTCTCTTGAAACTGCACTTCAGAAAACAAAAGGAAGGAGTCACTGGTACTCCAGAAGCTGAGATCAGCAAACTCAACTCCAAGAGCTACCTGAATTTGTAGCCACAGATGCTTTGGCTGGTTCTTCCTTCCTGAAAACAGGCTCTTCCATAAATTTCTCACCTACTAGCAAATTCTCAATGTTTGCCAGCATGCCCTCTGGAAGGCAGTCCTCGACTTGCACTGGACTGGTTTGGTGCAACCAAATACCAATATTGCTGTCTGTTCCTGAACTAGTGAGAAGTAAAGAAGGCAGGCTCCAGGGGCCAGGCAGTTCACTTACTGCTGTCGCAGCCTGTTCTGTGGGCGCTGCACCTGGGTGGTCATGCTGCCCTCACCCAGCCCTGCGCTGCCTCCCTTTCCTGAGCCGAGGCTGTGGCCCAGGGAGAACAGAGGCCTGTTTCTGCTAGGTGAAGAGAAGCGTCAAATGGATATTCGATCAGAACAGCAGGTACTACGCAACTAAAGCTGAGAAAAGTACTCAAATATTCTGTGACCATGGGGGGGGTCAGGCATGCCACAGGGTTACAAGTGGAATGTCCAAACACAAGTGTTGAGTGAGAGCTGTAACAGAAGTTTTTCTTCTAATTATCTTCTAAATGTCTTTCACTTTCTGGTCTTTATATCAAACGCATCAGAAAAAGAAAATACATAAGAATTCCATTCTTTAGCTGTTCTATAACTTAAAACTTCTATTCAAGAAAATAGTCAAGAATAAAATCTCAGTGCAACAGCCTTCTAAAAGTTTCAGGTAATAGACATGAATTATATTTAACAAAATCACTTTACACTTTTTCTTGAGTTGAAACTTATTTTTTTGAGAATGTATTTCTTTTTCAATGTTTGTGCTGTATAAAACAACAAGCATAACACCACTCATTGAATTTTTTAGTTATACTCAGGAATCATGGCTGTAATATTGCTTAGCAACAAAATCATCTTCCAGACTGGATGATAAAACCTAAGAGGTTTGGTTGTTTTCCTTAGTGTTCAGAAATGGATCTGGAATATTGGTCTTGAAATCTTGCTACAGTTATCTTTCTAATATTTTCTGAACTTAGTTTTAGTAAATCCTTAAGAACACCAGCCAATGATTAAGAAACCACTGTGACAGGCATGGTATTGAAAGAAAAAAAGACTAATCTAAACCCCAGGATCTGTCCCTAAAGCAAGCATACTAATCCAGATGTCAGCTGCAACCCAAGCAGACAACAAAGGTGAGCAGGTGACAGAGCAGCAGGAAGGCAGAGGGGTCTGGCAGGGCCCCGCTCTGGCTCTGTGAAGGGCCTTTACCAACCTCAGCTCCCAGGAACTGTGGCGTCGCCTGTAAGCAACTTGGCAGGTCCCTGCTCAGGCAGAGGAGCAAAGTCCTGGGCCTCTCTGCCACGGACAGGTGATT